GTTTCAATAGTTGATTCTTAAATAATAATGGACTTTTAACTATTTTAACTTTTAAACCATGAGTGATTTGCTTAAAATGTCCAATAACTTGAAACAATGTGTTGTTGTACAATTTAGTTTTTAATGGACAGACTGCAATTCACATTCTATTGTTCTTGTAAAAATATAATATGTAAATTGCTTTTGTTCCTTCACTTTTTAAAATTGTTACTTTTTTAGATTTATAAGAATTTCTTAGGCTTTCCCTGCAATTTTTTTAAATGTCTTTTTGAATACTATTTACACCTGTCTTACATAATTCCCAAATTGTGTGTTTTTTTTTACATTGTACAATGATGGGCAGGGGGGACAAACACATTATAAATAATACAACATATATAGAAATCCATGTAAAATCATCAAATAAATAAATAAATGAATATTTTTAAAATATAAAAAATATTTTTTAACAATTTCCCAGTGCTCATACCTGCACCTAATTTATTAAGAATATTTTGTCTGTATCATTCAACTGAATGAGAAAAAGGATCTTCAAAAGCACTTACCTGTTCTAGCAGAAATGTTTGAAGATACTCCTAAGTTGCTGGTGGGCTCTGAAGGGGCTTACTGAACTCTTCACACAACCCCTGCACTCCCCCTCAAACCCTCTGAATTGCTGTGGAGAACGGCAACATTTTTAAAGTGCTCCATGATCATTAAGAAAAAAAGGCACGTCAGGAGCTTGCTGTTAGCCTTTTTGGGATTGGCTCTTGCAAAATCAGCTCATTGACCAATGAGAGTCCTGTAATTAGGGAGAAAAGCAGCAAGATCCAACTTGGAAGAGGGAGCCGGAAGGATGCAGACATAATCAAAGAAATACCTTTTTACTGATTGATGAATGAGGTGCCACATCTACCACTGAGACACAAACATTACAGAAAACCTTGTGATACTGATACCTTGTGAATTGAACATGTGATACTTTCTCCATTCTGCCATATGAATTATGACTTTATCAGTTCATGCACTTTAGATTATTTCACCAAGAGCAGTTTATCTTATTCTGAATCCTGCAGTTTGCTCAGTATTATGCAGATTTATAAAGTAAAGTAAAGCTCTATGGAATTCCAAGTTTATACTTCGCTTATGCTTAATTTTTTTTAAATAAATTAATCTAAAAACTTCTTTATGTAATATCATATAAATTAGTTTTGTTTAAGCAAACATATTATTTAATATGACTAACCTAACATCATTTACCAACAAGAAACTCTAACAGTATTGGAACAAGTGGAGGATGTAATGCTGACAAAATTTTTGTGTGAAATATCTCTTTTAAGAAACCTTTATACAATAATGTTAAAGCACCCACATCATCTTCCTCATTCAAGACTTTTAGGCTTAAGTCATCTATGGCAAAGTGAAAACTGTGTAATGTAAGCTAATTAAAAACCAGACCCATGCTGTTAAAAAAAAACTCTCCCCAACAAGCAGATACCTGTCAGCAGCTTTTTGAAGGTGTTATCTGGCAGTTTCTTCACACTCACTAAAGATTCCACAGGAAAAGCAGAAAGTGTCGGCCACTGTCATAAGAAACTGAAGGCAACTGAAGGCCAGAAGGTTACAGGATGCTATAAAAAAAATCAGGTTTGGGTTAACGATCCAACAACTTTTTATGACAAGAACATCACAGATCAGAATGATAGCCTGTCAAATATCATTTTAGGTGATTCCTTCCCACCATATATAGCTGCAAAAATCTATAGCTGAAGCTATATGGTGGCTGCTTATGATTTAGAAACGACATCTGCAACATGCAACTCTTATGCATATACTATGTGACTGATTGTTTAATGGTGTCCATTCATCATGATGATGGGATGGCCAGATCAGCATGTCCACTGTTACACATATAATTAAACTTCAGGCTTGCTGCAAACAGGTGTTTTACATAGCACATAAACCTGCAATCCAAGCTGGAAGCGGCTGAGCACACAAACACGATATGGCCTCATAATTCCAACATACCACATGTAGAAGAATGTGACATGCGCTCAGAATTTTGGAACACCTGGCGCCAGGGAAGAGTTTAAAAATCACTTAGAAGACAAAAAAAATTCTTTGCCCTTCACTGAAGCAATTTTTATGAATATATACAGTATCTATATTTACCAAATGTCTACTTATCTTTCCACAAATATCTAATTGCCCTATTTCACAAACTTTAGTGAAATAAGTGACTTTTTGTTTAACTTGTGACAGAACGAGTGTGGCTGGAAGGTCAAGGTGGTAAAACTCTGAGGAGTTCTGCTTTTTTATTTCTTTTCTCACAGTTCACCTGTATGTCTTTGTAGAGTTTTATGAGACTTGAGACAAGCCAGCTTTCACATCTTCTCACCTGGAAATAGGGCAGAGCACTTTTCCTTCCCTTCCACACATATAATGGCTCCAAAAAGGATTCTGACTTAAGTCACACCAAAAAATGTGCGAATATCAAAATGTCAAACCAAGTGACATTTTTCTTAAAAGAATATCACAAACACTCTTTTCAAGCTAATTTTCAAATGCTAAAAAATGCTATGGCTCGACAGTTTCTGGTTGTCAAACTGTACGTGCCTATTGTGATGAACTACATCTCTGGTTACTCTGAATGAGATTTTGTCTTTTGTAAAATAACAATATTTCTGCCATGCTTTTCCCAAAGCAGCAACAAAATGTGTAAACAATTGCATTTTATGGAAAACTAAAGGCCTTCTAGAAAGAACTCATGTAAGAAAAAAGCCAATAAACAGAAATGATTTACATGCCAGAAAGGACAAGTAACTGAATCTGTCATGTATAATTTCGATGGGTGAGCTAAATGGATACAAATAATATGTTTATGAAACCTTTTGTGATATGGTTATCTGTATTTATCTATATTGTGATAAGCAAAGTAATACAACAGGTCTGTCAAACTGTGCAGACAATCTTTTTTCATTTTTCTCTTTCTTTGAAGAACATTGGGATTAACATGTGTGGTAAATTAGGGAATTTTTTGTGGCTTGTTTGATTTTTATTTTGGCCCTGAGACACAAATCACACCACATTAAGCCACTCACTTCATTAAGAAATTCTGCAGTAGTAAAAACATCTCCAGCTGGGTCTGAATCTTTTAAAGGACCACCAGATGCAGAATTATGGAAGAGTTTCTTTTTAATTGTTTCAGTATGTTTAGCTATAACCTATACAGTCACTCATGTTGCATCTTGTACATTTGTTCAGACTGAATGTTACTGAAAATATTGGTGTTGTTCTTTTTATCTGCTTTAAGCATGTAATTATAAACAACTCTCCATTACAAAAGCGGTGTTGTAATATTTAGTCTTGATAAATTATTTTAGATTTGAATAGCTCAAATTGAAGCAGTTTGATGGGTTTAATGGATGAAGTCCTGCAGTGATGAGTATAAATCAAACACATTTGAAACATTACTATTTTGTTCTACTGACTTGAGGTAAAGTTTAGGTGATGTATGGATAGTGTGCTTTACAGGTGGACTACGAGTAAATCACCGGGTGCTGTTTAAAAGTGTCAGATTTATGAGGAGGACTGTTCCTCCCCTTTGCCTAGTGAAAACAGCTCATATTTAACCAGTACCTCGATCTAATGATGGTGAATACATTTATTATCTATTTAATCATGCATTTGGTGACAATTAACAATACACATTATCATTACAATTTAATTAATTATAGCTTTTCCATTCCAAAATTACCATTACAATATGAAAAGTCTCGTTTTTAAGTCCTTATTTTCTTAATATTCATTAGAAGTAATAACCATTTGCTTTATAATTTATATACAATTATAATTAAATATATAAGTTTAAGTGAAGAAAAAGAATTTAAATGTGAAATTTGAACCCAATAAATATGTTTTGACCTCAATTAGGATTGTTTCAAAGTCACTTAAGATATTTTCCATTGCAAAACCTCATTCAGAATAATGACAAAACCACAATTTTGAATTGTACGGTTTTAATTACATTCTGGAGATTGTTCATACAACTATATTTTGCTCATTCTCTTCCGTTCTGACAGACAAACTTGCACAGGCATATAAGGCAATCATATGTGCGTTGCAGCAATCTAATAAGAGAGATATATAGGAATAAATAATACAATACAATTTAAAAAAGTGATCAAACTGACACTGATTAGAATCATTTTTGGATAGCAGTCATTATAGTGACTGGCAGAAGTTCCTATTCAGCCAACGTGTTATAGAAAGCGTTCGATACATCTCAAAACAAAATTCATAATACATCAGAAGTTTGTTAGAAACACTACATTTAGATACACACCAAGCACCACACTGTGAACAGAAACAGTCTTGGTTATATGTGCGTCTGTACTTACATTGATGAAAAGGCAATTATGAATAATGGGTCAGTTGATAAAAGACTACTCTCTTTTTCACAGAAAGCACGATAATGATCCCCAAAGAGACATTTTGATTAATAAAACTGACTAAAAGTACAATTGTCTTCTGTCTACATTGTTCTTGGGGATTAAATACATTTTACATTTTGTTCTTTTGCCAGAAAAAAAAACTTAAGGTTTTTGTGTACATTAAAGAGAAAGAGTTCACCCAAAAATGATCATTATTTACACTTTCATATTTTTCCAAACCTGTATGAGTTCTGTGGAACACAAAAGATTATATTCTGTGTAACTGTTTTTGTTTATAAAATGAAAGTCAATGGAGTCTAAAACAACATTAAACACCATTAATGACAGAATATTCATTTTTGGTTGAACCATCCCTTTAAGCACTATTTGATGAATATGAATATGAATCTAAATCATAATCTGTCCAACTTTGGTGCCTATGTGCTCTAGTGCCTAGTTGGTTTACTCTAAAAGAAGGTGCAAACTGAAAAAAGTCTAAAACATGACTACCCATGCAAAGGATTACACTAAGACCACCAGCTTTTCAGAAATCCTTCATGAAAAATACAAAAAACTAAATTAGAAAACAAAATATTTGTCACGTGTACTTCTCTACGTGGTGTTTCTGTTTGCTTATAAATGCTATCCTGATTGTCAGTTAGTGGGAGGCCCTTACTCTTTGGCCATGAAGCTTTATTTTAAGAGTAATTATGTGAAGTTGAAAAGAGAAAAAATATTTGGCAGCAAAATATGGAGTGTCCTGCATCTACCAGCCCTTTAACAGCTAAACGAATGACTTTACTCTGGTCCATAACCCTCTGGTCATTGGCGGGTTGGAGGTTGACAGGAAACATTGTGAAAACAATTTCCTCCGATGACCCACTGAGATGGAGCTACGCCAAAACCAGCCACAATCACCTTCCCCGTGAAAAACACTAATAGCCTCCTTCCACAGATGACTTTGTTTTTATAGCAAAACAACTGAATCACACCAGCAAAGTAAAACAATGGAATACCTTCATTACTCTGGACCTTTCCCTGTGAACCTGACATTTATCCTCCCACCCACATCCCATCACAGAGGGAAGCGGAACCCCTCTGAATAAAATCATTGGCGCCCCAGTAGTTTGGACAGAAAGCCTGGAGAGGGTTTGCTAGGATTAGACGTTTCTGCACGGCTCGAGCGGTCCAGCCCCAACTCGCCTTCCAGCTGTTCCAGCTCTGATTGGTCCAACAACTCAAAGTCCTCCGCCTCGCTGTCCGATTCCTCAGCCAGGGCCTGGACCAGCGCAGGCGCTATAGCTGCCTCCAGACGTTCCTGCATGGCCGCGGTTACTGCTGCTGTGATTACGTCTCCAGCCAGCCTCTGCACAACTTCCAGGGCCTGGGCCGCGGGTTCCTCCTCTGACTGTGTGGACCCGACCCTGCTGGGATGGGCTGGAAGGGTGGGCATCCCAATGCTCAGGTCATCGTCGTCATCTCCATTTGTTCCCAAGCCATTGTCCAAGGAGGGAAACTCCGGTAGTCCACCGGTGAAGACTTCTTCGTCACTTCGCCGGTCTGAGTCTGTATCAAATATATAACACAGAAAATGCCCCATTTAAAAAACAATGAGATGTATACACATTCAACAGGAATACAATTTGGTATAATATCTATTATTGAATGCATCAAAACTATATATGTTTTCAAGGTTTTAGACAATACATTTATCATAATGCTATAATACACAAAGAACGGCTCTAATACATAAAAAAAGGCTTTCATTCAATTCTTCAATCTCCTTTTTTATAATCACAACATGCTGATGACTAATTGATTCCAGTGTACTAGTATATATTTATTTATAGTATACTAACATATAGTATACAGTTAATACCACAATTTAAAAGTTTGGGGTCAATATGATTTTTTTAATGATACAGTTTAAAAAAAAACAGTAAAAATATTAATATTGTGAAATATTATTACAATTTTAAATCACTTTTTGAATAATGCATTGTTATGTATTTTTTATGTATATGTACTTTGTTTTAAAATGTAATTTATTCCTGTGATGGTAAAGCTGATTTTTCAGCATCCAGTCCAGTGTGACATGATCCTTCCGAAAAATTCATTCTAATATCCTGATTCGCTACTCAAGCATCATTTAACATTTCTTATTGTTATCAGTTGAAAGCAGTTGTGCTGCTTAATATTTCTTGTGGAATGAAAAATATTAGGTAACATTTTAGATTAGGGAACACATATTCACTATTAACTAAGGGCTTTGCCCTCAATAAACTCCTAATTTGCGGCTTATTAATATTTAGTAAGGTAGTTGTTAAGTTTAGGTATTGGGTAGGATTAAGGGATGTACAATATGGTCATGCAGAATAAGGCATTAATATGTACCTAATAAACAAGTACTAATAAACAGGCAATATGCTAGTAATATACATGCTAATAAGCAACTAGTTAATAGTGAAATAGGGATTTTATATATATATATATATATATATATATACATACATACATACATACATACATACATACATACACACACACACATCAGTTTCTGGCAGTTAGTTTGCAGTGCTGTGTAACTGTTTTTGTTTATAAAATGAAAGTCAATGGAGTCTAAAACAACATTAAACACCATTAATGACAGAATATTCATTTTTGGTTGAACCATCCCTTTAAGCACTATTTGATGAATATGAATATGAATCTAAATCATAATCTGTCCAACTTTGGTGCCTATGTGCTCTAGTGCCTAGTTGGTTTACTCTAAAAGAAGGTGCAAACTGAAAAAAGTCTAAAACATGACTACCCATGCAAAGGATTACACTAAGACCACCAGCTTTTCAGAAATCCTTCATGAAAAATACAAAAAACTAAATTAGAAAACAAAATATTTGTCACGTGTACTTCTCTACGTGGTGTTTCTGTTTGCTTATAAATGCTATCCTGATTGTCAGTTAGTGGGAGGCCCTTACTCTTTGGCCATGAAGCTTTTTTGTTTTTAGAAGTAATTAAGCGAAGTTGAAAAGAGAAGAAATATTTGGCAGCAAAATATGGAGTATTCTGCATCTACCAGCCCTTTAACATCTAAACTCATGACAATACTCTGGTCCATAACCCTCTGGTCATTGGCGGGTTGGAGGTTGACAGGAAACATTGTGAAAACAATTTCCTCCGATGACCCACTGAGATGGAGCTACGCCAAAACCAGCCACTATCACCTTCCCCATGAAATACACAAATAGCCTCCTTCCACAGATGACCGTTTTAATAGCAACTGAATATAACTGAATCACACCAGCAAAGTAAAACAATGGAATACCTTCATTACTCTGGACCTTTCCCTGTGAACCTGACATTTATCCTCCCACCCACATCCCATCACAGAGGGAAGCGGAACCCCTCTGAATAAAATCATTGGCGCCCCAGTAGTTTGGACAGAAAGCCTGGAGAGGGTTTGCTAGGATTAGACGTTTCTGCACGGCTCGAGCGGTCCAGCCCCAACTCGCCTTCCAGCTGTTCCAGCTCTGATTGGTCCAACAACTCAAAGTCCTCCGCCTCGCTGTCCGATTCCTCAGCCAGGGCCTGGACCAGCGCAGGCGCTATAGCTGCCTCCAGACGTTCCTGCATGGCCGCGGTTACTGCTGCTGTGATTACGTCTCCAGCCAGCCTCTGCACAACTTCCAGGGCCTGGGCCGCGGGTTCCTCCTCTGACTGTGTGGACCCGACCCTGCTGGGATGGGCTGGAAGGGTGGGCATCCCAATGCTCAGGTCATCGTCGTCATCTCCATTTGTTCCCAAGCCATTGTCCAAGGAGGGAAACTCCGGTAGTCCACCGGTGAAGACTTCCTCGTCACTTCGCCGGTCTGAGTCTGTATCAAATATATAACACAGAAAATGCCCCATTTAAAAAACAATGAGATGTATACACATTCAACAGGAATACAATTTGGTATAATATCTATTATTGAATGCATCAAAACTATATATGTTTTCAAGGTTTTAGACAATACATTTATCATAATGCTATAATACACAAAGAACGGCTCTAATACATAAAAAAAGGCTTTCATTCAATTCTTCAATCTCCTTTTTTATAATCACAACATGCTGATGACTAATTGATTCCAGTGTACTAGTATATATTTATTTATAGTATACTAACATATAGTATACAGTTAATACCACAATTTAAAAGTTTGGGGTCAATATGATTTTTTTAATGATACAGTTTAAAAAAAAACAGTAAAAATATTAATATTGTGAAATATTATTACAATTTTAAATCACTTTTTGAATAATGCATTGTTATGTATTTTTTATGTATATGTACTTTGTTTTAAAATGTAATTTATTCCTGTGATGGTAAAGCTGATTTTTCAGCATCCAGTCCAGTGTGACATGATCCTTCCGAAAAATTCATTCTAATATCCTGATTCGCTACTCAAGCATCATTTAACATTTCTTATTGTTATCAGTTGAAAGCAGTTGTGCTGCTTAATATTTCTTGTGGAATGAAAAATATTAGGTAACATTTTAGATTAGGGAACACATATTCACTATTAACTAAGGGCTTTGCCCTCAATAAACTCCTAATTTGCGGCTGATTAATATTTAGTAAGGTAGTTGTTAAGTTTAGGTATTGGGTAGGATTAAGGGATGTACAATATGGTCATGCAGAATAAGGCATTAATATGTACCTAATAAACAAGTACTAATAAACAGGCAATATGCTAGTAATATACATGCTAATAAGCAACTAGTTAATAGTGAAATAGGGATTTTATATATATATATATATATATATATATATACATACATACATACATACATACATACATACATACATACATACATACACACACACACACACACACATCAGTTTCTGGCAGTTAGTTTGCAGTGTTTTTTTTTGTTATAAAAGGGTCTATCTATCATTTGTTATATTTAGACTATATTTAGACCTGAAAATTCACCCACATACAGATATTTCTGGAAAAGGTAAGAGAGCTTTACCTTCAGAGTTTTCTGTCTGAGGTGTGTGTCCCTCTGAAAGGTTAAAGGTGCCATTGTCTGTCCATGTTATTTCAGAGACCTCTGTGTCGGATATAGACAGCTCTTTGCACACGGTGGAGTCCATCTGTATTAGATACTCAATATCAGTTCACACAAAGACAAGAAATGGACATATTATGAATATGGTATTATTGTCATATCCTAAAGCCCTCACAGTCTTCAGTGGCACATGATAAGCGTGTGAGTAACAGTATCTGGCCAGTTGTGTGGCAGCTCACTGACCTTGGGGAAAAGTGCAGACAGATCTGCTTCAATGCTCTCTCTCTTGGCTTGTGACTGGAGTATCCTTTTCTCTTAAGCAGGAAAGGAATATGGAAAATGCAAGTCAGCCATGACTTTAAATATTACATTCAAAACCAAACAGAATCGATAAAAATACTTTAGTGTAATTGAAAAATATAAAAATGTGTGCGTCTACTATGTTTTATATGCTTATAAGTGGTTTGCCTTGTTAGCTTAGCAACATGCCAATGCCAAACTCCATTGAATTCAATCAGATGAGTCACTCTTTCATAGTGCTAAATGTGTGGTGCGCTCCAAAATTTATTTTGGGGGTCAAGCTACAATGGAACTCATGTAAAATTCAGTAATTTTCTATGTGTGTATTTGAGACGTACCATGATTCTCCTTTATTTTCCGAAGAAACTCGCCCACTCCAAAGTCCAGTTTCTGCAGAACTGGTTCCAACCACATCCCAAACTCATGTGACGACACCAAAGGCCAGAGAAAAATGCCCAGCACTGCAGTAAACAGATGTAGAAACTATTAATGTACGCGTCACTCTTACCAGTGTGTTTGTGAACCTGCTGACTGCTAGGAAGAAAGAGAAACCAGAGACTGAGTGGGAATATCGTCATGTTACATTTCTAGGAATCCACAATCACATGACAAACAGACTGTTGGATGTTCTCAAGTGTGCTGGAGGTAAATCCAGAAAAGGCTATGCTCACCTTAGCCAATAGTAGCATGGTTACAAACAGTTGTACAAAGACTTTAATGAAAAGATATGGCAAAAGCTATTAATTACCCTCTGTTTTGTGTAGGACCTAATTTGGCACTTACCTAAGATGTATGAAATAACAACCCCTGGAATGTAACGCCCAAGTATTGCCAGAAAAGAGCACATACTGCACACCAGCAGACAGAACTGCAATGAGACGCAAATTTATAATGTCTCAGTTCACTGCAAAAGGATAGTTGACATAAAATACTTTTGAAGAGTTAATAAACTGAGATGTGACATGCTATACTCTAAATCTATTTTAAATATAATTTTGTTCATTCTTTTAAGACCACTGTCAGACCATGAAAAATTAACTAGAGAAGGCAAAATTGTGGTTAAAATGGGGGAAATGTAGAAGAAATTAAGACTTGACATGATACCCAACATATATGGTTTCCCTTTATACATTCATACTAATTTTAACCTACAATCTACACTGTAATGTTAAAAAAGGGTACATTATGCAAAAACTAAATATGTCCATACCTTGCCTGGATTCTGCTGCTTAAAAGAGGAAGTCTCCTCAATGAAGAGCTTGAGGCTCATCCAGAAGTGTGTGAATGGAGATCCTGATCCAGACTTGCCCTCCTGGACAGAATCAATGACCTCCCAGCTACAATTAAAAGACCAGTAATATAAATGATCATTAAAGTTGAACCAGAAGTAAAGACGACCCTTTCTGCAAAAGCACATATTAATTCATTAATTCAATTAAACAATGTAAACTTCTTTATTTATCATTGCATATCTGCTGAACACATATGCTGCTATATATTTGTAGTGGCCTCTTCTCAACATCTGGAACTGTGATATGACACAATATGCCTATACACTATACAGGACATGTAAATTCACATTATGGAGGATGGAAAGAATTAAATAAAAATGTAGACCTTATAGTCTACATTTTAACGGATATCAGTGTCTATAGCATGAGCTATAAAGTAGCACATATTAATTCATTAATTCAATTAAACAATGTAAACTTCTTTATTTATCATTGCATATCTGCTGAACACATATGCTGCTATATATTTGTAGTGGCCCCTTCTCAACATCTGGAACTGTGATATGACACAATATGCCTATACACTATACAGGACATGTAAATTCACGTTATGGAGGATGGAAAGAATTAAATAAAAATGTAGACCTTATAGTCTACATTTTAATAAACGGATATCAGTGTCTATAGCATGAGCTATAAAGGGTGTATGCCTTTGAAGGCAGATTCTAGCACTATCAGAGCAGACACTGCATTTGTGAAATACTTCACAGTCTGAGTAATGAACGAAGAAATGTACAAGAGGATTCTTATAATATCTAAAATGGGTTCATGAGATAACTGAAAAGTAGGCTTTGACCAAATGTTTGACTTAGTATGACTTTCAGAACAGAGGAATTTCTTGGCATCTAGGGCGGCTTGTTAATGCTCTTTATCTGTGGTAATGTGCCCTACTCCCATCCCCTCACAGCTGTCGCCTTATATTTCCCATCTCCAAAACAAACCGAACAATGCCACCTATATGTCGAAAACTTTTCAAACACAAAGTCCTTCAAACAAACATATTGACCCCAAAAACATGCTACACATAACCCATGCAATTAGGAACTCTCCTACAGATCCGTTTCCTCCAAAAGGTCATAAACCACCTCCAACATTACAGAGACATGTTTCCCCACCGGAGGTTTCCTATTAAACAGAGCGCATGGGGGGCATGTGACTATGAGGCAACAGAGCTCACATTAGCATTTCACCATCTAAGCGAAAGTGCCAGAGAAAGTGAGTGCAGGCTTGCCCAACCCAGACCAGAGCTGACGACTGGAGATCAATGAGGTGTAATGCTCACAAGTGTTAAGAGATTTCATCAGATGAGATCTTTTGTTACATCTTTTGTGAAATCTGCATGTTGACTAACACTATGTGGTGTTTGATAGTCAACGCTATTTGAAATCATGTCATGCTTGTTACTGCTAAATGTTATCATGTGAAAACCAAATAAAGTTTGCTGCCTCAAGAAAGTCCAAAATCTTTTAAAACCAAAGAACATGTGTAGAAAATCCTCTAATGTCTCTGT